AATATTATCAAGACTTAATCCCATCACTCTGGAGCTGAAGGGGAGAAGTCTTTATTATGTAAAGTGGACTAGCTTGGCCTTCTTAATGGCCCATTGACAAAGTGGGGATGTGTAGGAAGCTACAGGGAGCTATTCTGTCTTTTAAAACATATTTCTTCCTTTTCACATCCAGAGAAATATTCTGCCTTTTCAATATTTCCTAGAATATTTCATTTTTCTAGGAGAGGGCTGGGTGATAACTTCTTACATTCATAAGGAATGGAAAGAGATTTTTCTTCTTCTAACCCTTCACCTTAGAGGCTCAGGAATCAATCGTTTTAAATTGAATGTGTAAAATTGGGGTCTATGACTAATGACATCTGTATCAGGTGGGTTTTCGTTACTTTGATGACGTCAGTGATTAAAACTACTGATAAGCTCTCATGATAATATGCACTACAACTATTTCTGTATATTCCCTGTATTTCTCAGTTGGCAGAAGAGAAGGCACTACAAACTGACTTCGATTTGGAAGAACAGATGGTAAACAGCAGTGGTTTGAAAATGCCTAAGAAGTCTGGGAAACCTGAAAATTTATTTACTTTCCTCCACCAGGTGTCCCACTTGATTTCAAGGACTATTAAACAACAAACTGCAAAGGAATTAACTCCTTTCTAGCCACGTTATAATCAAAGTACTGGTAGTTTTATCACAATTTACGTATGATCCTCCAGGAATGGTTTCCAATCTCTCTTCTGACACTAAACCCATAATTCTCATCACTTCAAGAGCTTGGATTAGAATGGGGAATGGAAGCTTAACAATATCTGGAGAAAGGCAGATTTTTCCATTTTATCTATCATAAGCAAAAGCATTAAAACCAAGATATACTAAGCAACTAAGCAATAAAACCCCAAAGGATGCTTCAAAATGTATCTCTAAAATATGGTGTAAAAAGTTACAAAGAAGGTTACAAAAGTAGATTAGATCAACATTCATTACAGTATTGTTTCACGTTATAGTTCCTCATAAATTACAAATCCACTCTTTGTAACTTGTTTCAAGCACATTTTGCTTTTTACTTACATACATACAATTATGACTTCAAAATATTTACAGCTTTGACTGTGCAATTCAATTATCCCTTAATATTTTCAGTGGTTTAGTTATTTCTTGCTCCCTGTAATACATCTATAACTCTACATTGATTTTTATAGGTGTCCCTTTGTATCAACACAATGCATTAGAAGGACCAGAACTAAATATCCATATATCACTGTTAATAATTTCCAGACCAAAAGCTACTACTTGTCATTCACAGAAAGATAATTGGGTGTGCCCATTTGGACAGCATTCTCTTTATACCCATGCCAGTTTTAAAAATGAGAATTGAAATACAGTTAGTCTTACAAATAGTAAATACAATGTGTCAAGCCTGGTAGAATTGCCCCAATATTTTAGAGGCTGAGATAAAACCTAACAATTTACTAAGACTTTGGCTGAGATCAATTTCTTCACGTAAAATGCTGCTTTTTCCCTTGCTTCGATCTATGGCTGCTTCTAGTGTTTCAGAATAAATTTTGCTGTTTTATGTTGTTTGCTTTACTATTGTTCATACTTTATTGGTAAATAAGTTAATAGAAAAAGTTGGAATTTTTTCATAAATAAGGTTCTGGAAGTGGAATCACATGTTACTGGAAGTACCTTAGGAAAGAGCAACAAAGATGATTAGGGGACTGGAGGTTAAAACATATGAATAATGGTTGCAGGAACTGGGTATGTCTAGTTTAATAGAAAGAAGGACTAGGGGAGACATGATAGCAG